TAAATCCGTGGTCCAACGGATCTTTCGTTAAACAGGGCTTGTAACAAACATTCCACAATCTTTAGTGATAGAAAAGAGAAAGAACTCTTTCTCATACACAAGTATATGGCCTGCTCCGCGTGCACTTTATTATTCGAACAAAATGTACAACATGCAACAAATATATGAAGCAAACCGACTCTTACCCACGTTATTTGTCACGTATCGTACCCTTTCACATTGCTTAAGTATGCATTCGACACCCCTTTGTTCAATAATGAAAAGGTCAGAGAATCGAATTTTTTCCCGAAGTACGGCGGAGAGTGCCGGAAATTTTTCCACTTTACACATTTAAGATCACGTGACCATTTGAGTGTTTATCAACAGCCAACATTATTTTTGGTGGGAATGTCGTACCGAGAAGATGGAAGGACTGGTGTTCCCTGATAGGAAAGTAAGTTTGTTGATTTTTACGAATTGTGTCGATTAAATTCTTTATTTATTTTCCAGCTACCGGCCTGTGTTGTGTACCTGCTTATTTTTATAGCCAGGTACGTACATTTGCACGTGATAATTGTCTATTAGAAATGATGTGCTATTTTTAGCTGTTAGTGTTCATTTATTATGATACATAGGTTATTTTAGTTGATCTTTTGAGATTTGAAAAGGGGTTTGAGAAGTCGATTTTAGATCAAGCTGGCCAGCCGCGCGACGTTCTATACATCGGCGGTTTTTGTTTATGTATCTCCCGCGTGCTGATGTATATACATGTACGAATTTGGTGCATACATATATATTTCCTACCTCTCTTTACTAACAAATATATTTTTGTGTAATTTGTACATATACACAGTACGTTGATGTTGAAATGGGTTTATGATAGTCCAAAAAATGTTATAAAATGTAATTTTTGCCTTGTTAGTGATAGAAGTAAAGTAATTTAGTGATATGTAAAGTGGTACTGAATTGTTGTTTTTCATGGCATTTCCTGTCAAAATGTTTATAGTATTAGTGTTATTTTAGTTGATATGTTATGAAATTAGAAATTGGGCTGTGCTCATCCAATTGTTTTAAAATGTGATTCTGCCTGGCTTCGCGCTGCGTTTACTTGCTATTTTAAATGTTCTAAAATTGCATAATACCTAATTAAAATTATCACACCCACCTTTATAACCCTAATGTGCTCTCCTTTGTCCCTTCCTATATAAAATGTCAAAATGTTTATAAATTTCTTTCATGTATAAAATTGTTTTAGTTTAGTTGATAGGAATGTGTTTATGCTGGTCAATGTTTTTAGATGCCAGTCTGGTTCAGTTTGTGTAATCGCGCGCGTTTTTAGATATAATCGTGATGTTAGCTCGTGCCGAATTTTGATTTATACTTTTGTCATTTCTCTTCATTATTATAATCATAACCATAGTGCTGTATTGTATTTGATTTGATGCTAGTGTATTTGATATGAATATTTGTCTACCCACTATGAAATAACTATAATGTGTATTAATTCATTCACCCAATCCCCATTCCCTTTAGACCTGTTGTTTGATGTATAAGCCACTCCTTTTAATGCTATGTTTATTACAGTTAAGAGTTTAGTTTAGAAGTCTTGTACATATTATGAAACTGATCAATTAATATGTTTGTGTTTTAATACCTATATTTTTTGTACTTGTAGATCTACAGTACTTGGAAGTTGCCAGGTTCTTCTAATTGTATAATAGAATTATAATAATATAATTATATTCCAATATTTTGTGTCTGGAGACCCCTTTGAATAGAAGAGGTTGGAGGGTCCTGATTGTGGTGGATAGACGAAGATGTGGATGGCTGTGTAACATTGGCAAAGTCTATGTGTTGGAATGTGGCATGATGGAGCAATTGGTAATTTTAATATGTTACTTGATTTTAAGAATTTTGTCATAATAACTCTTTTTTGTAAACAATTTGGTATTTCGTGTTGTGTGTAAATTTGTAAAAAAAATTACAGGTATTATTGAGTATTTTACTATATTTTATTTGATTTCAATGGATTTTTCATTAAGAAAGATTTGAGTTTAAGAAGATTATTTAAATCAGTTGAGAATTTCAGTTGATTGTCTATAGCTATATAGACTGGAAGGTCAGTGGTTCTATTCATAATGTCAAATTGCTCCTCTTTGCACTTTAATGGTACTTATTTTCATATGCCACATAACTTAAAACCATTAAAATTCAAATAGTTACCTGTTTAGTAGGAAAGTAATTTGTAAAGATATTGAAGATGTTAGGGGCGTCCGTGGCCGAGTGGTTAAGGTCGTTGACTTCAAACCACTTGCCCCTCACCGCTGTGGGTTCGAATCCCGACAGGGACTCAGGTGCCCGTTCGTGCCTGAAATAATGCACAGAAAGGCACCTGAGGTCTTCCTCCACCAGTAAAGCTGGAACGTCGCAAATATGACCTATACTGTGTCGATGTGACGTAAATCCCCCCCCCCCCCCCCCCCCCCCCCCCCCCCAAAAAAAAAAGATATTGTAGATGTTAAAATTACGAGATTGGAATGTTGTTTTGTTATCCCTATGATCTTTCAGACCATGGAGTTGCATTAAATGTGATGATGGATGTGATCTTGCAGACCATGGAGTTGCATCAAATGTGATGATGGATGTTATCTTGCAGACCATGGAGTTGCATCAAATGTGATGATGGATGTGATCTTTCAGACCATGGAGTTGCATCAAATGTGATGATGGATGTGATCTTTCAGTCCATGGAGTTGCACCAAATATGATGATGGATGTGATCTTTCAGACCATGGAGTTGCACCAAATATGATGATGGATGTGATCTTTCAGTCCATGGAGTTGCACCAAATATGATGATGGATGTGATCTTTCAGTCCATGGAGTTGCACCAAATATGATGATGGATGTGATCTTTCAGACCATGGAGTTGCACCAAATATGATGATGGCTGTGTATGTGTTGGAATGAGGCATGATGGAGCAATTGGGTATTTTACTAAACATTACTTTATTTTAAGGATTTTGTCATAGTATTTTTTTTTTGTACACAATTTGGTAATTTGTGTTGTGTAAATTGGTGAACAATTTCAGGTATAATTGAGTATTTTACTATATTTTACTTGATTTAAATGGATTTTCATTAAGATAAGACCCGATTTTAAAAAGATTATTTTATTCAGTTGAGAATTACAGTTGATTGTCTATAGCTAGCTAGACTGGAACGTCAGTGGTTCTTTTCATAATGTCAGTTTGCTACTCCTTGCACTTTTATGGTATATTTTCATCTGCCACATAACTTTAAACCATTAAATAACAAGTAGTTGTCTGTTTAGTTGGAAAGTTATTTGTAAAAATATTGTAGATGTTAAAATTATGAGATTAGAATGTTGTTTTGTTACCCCTGTGATCTTTCAGACCGAGGAGTTGCATCAAATGTGATGATGGATAGATGTCAGAAAGTGGACAATGACAGAGTAATGAAGAACTTGACATGCATGGTGGAAGTTGATCGAGACTATCAATTCTTCGAGAGGTCCAGCGACTTTATACTCGCAAGAAGGATATGGTATGGAATAGCTTTCTACACTTCTGGGCTGGCAGATTTGTAAGATTGGAAGTTGTTTCAGTGTGGAGAGAGATGAACACTTTGTATGGTCAGGTAAAAATTGCTTTTGAAGTCGCAAGTAAGTCTCAATAAAGGCATTTCCAATTCTAGTTTTCTAACTAGCTATGTATTGGAAAGTTGGTGGTTCTACTCTTAAAAGGTGTCTGTCTTTGTCCCAAGTAAGTCTCAATAAAGCCATTTCCATTTCCTGATTTCTAGCTAGCTATGTTTTGGAAAGTTGGTGGTTCTACTCTTAAAAGGTGTCTGTCTTTGTCCGAAACAATGTCATTAAAGCATATTTTACTCTACCTTTAAAGCTTGACAGTCACCAAAATAGAATGTAGAATTGTATCTGTTTAATAGAAAAATTGCTTAGGTTACATTGTTACTTTTTGAGATTGCAATGTTGTTTTGTTAACCCCAGTGACATTTCAGTGAACCCTTGCAACATGTTGGCTGGATTTATGTCGGAATGTGTGTCACTGTGGCTGTGTGACATTGGTGAAGTGTGATTGTGCTGGAAAGTGACATGATGGAGCATTGGTAAATTATCTATTTTGAATTTGTGTAAGTCACAGGACAGCTGGAGTGCAACATGTATGGAGGCTCAATTTTTCAATAGCTTAGTAATAAATCAGTTACACATTCAGTAGATTGGAATTGTCTTTTGTAGATTTAAAGTCTATAACTTGGTAGACTGGAATATTGGTTGCTATAATCTGCTTGGCCAATGTTAACATTTTGAGATTGCAATGTTGTTCTGTTAACCCCAGTGACATTTCAGTGAACCCTTGCAACATGTTGGCTGGATTTATGTCGGAATGTGTGTGGCTGTGTGACATTGGTGAAGTGATTTTTATGACATTGGTGAAGTGTGATTGTGCTGGAAAGTGACATGATGGAGCATTGGTAAATTATCTATTTTGAATTTGTGTAAGTCACAGGACAGCTGGAGTGCAACATGTATGGAGACTCATATTTTCAATAGCTTAGTAATAAATCAGTTACACATGCGGCTAGCCGCAGCGAAATTATGGAACGCGTTACCACCTGACGTTAGAGACTGTAATACCTTGCCATGTTTTAAGAGAGCTCTCAAAACACATTATTTCATAAAGTTCTATGGACGTTAGTTCATAAATCATCATACATGTACTACTTTTGCTATATTATCAGTGTTAATTTTAATTGTGCCTTGATTTTAAACTAAATGTGTCTGTATTTCTTACCATCCTTTACTGGTTTTAGATTATCATTATTGTTTAATAGGTTTACTTAATTAATGTTGTACATTATGTCTTATATATATATATATGATTATGTTTTATCGGATTTATGTAAAGCACTCTTGAACATTTATTATTTATGAAAAGAGTGCTATAGAAATGTGGTATATAATAATAATAATAATTCAGTAGATTGGAATTGTCTTTTGTAGATTTAAAGTCTATAACTAGGTAGACTGGAATATTGGTTGCTATAATCTGCTTGGTACCAGCCCTTGCCTGAAACAATCAACATTTGGGGCATTTTTCCTACCAATAAAGGAGGCCGGCCAGTCGCCATATGACTTGACAATCAACTAAACAATTGTTTCTAGTTTAGCTAAGGGTTTGTTTAAGATATGATCAATGTTAACATTTTGAGATTGGAATGTTGTTTTGTTAACCCAGTGACTTTTCAGTAAACCTATAGACCATGGAGTCTGAATGGCTTAAGTGGCATTAAATGTGATGATGGATAGATGTCAGGAAATGGATGGTAAAAGCACACCTGTGACAGAGTAATGAAGTACTTGACATGCATGGTGGAAGTTGATCGAGACTATCAATTCTTCGAGAGGTCCAGCGACTTTATACTCGCAAGAAGGATATGGTATGGAATAGCTTTCTACACCTCTGGGCTGGCAGATTTGTAAGATTGGAAGTTGTTTCAGTGTGGAGAGAGATGAACACTTTGTATGGTCAGGTAAAATTTGCTTTTGAAGTCACAAGTAAGTCTCAATAAAGGCATTTTCATTTCTAGTTTTCTAACTAGCTATGTATTGGAAAGTTGGTGGTTCTACTCTTAAGAGGTGTCTGACTTTGTCCGAACAATGTCTTTCAGGCACATTTTCCTCTACCTTTAAAGCTTGACAGTCACCAAAATAGAATGTAGAATTGTATCTGTTTAATAGAAAAATTGCTTAGGTTACATTGTTACTTTTTGAGATTGCAATGCTGTTTTGTTAACCCAGTGACTTTTCAGTGAACCCTTGCAACATGTTGGCTGGATTTATGTCGGAATGTGTGTGGCTGTGTGACATTGGTGAAGTGATTTTTATGACATTGGTGAAGTGTGATTGTGCTGGAAAGTGACATGATGGAGCATTGGTAAATTATCTATTTTGAATTTGTGTAAGTCACAGGACAGCCGGAGTGCAACATGTATAGAGGCTCAATTTTTCAATAGCTTAGTAATAAATCAGTTACACATTCAGTAGATTGGAATTGTCTTTTGTAGATTTAAAGTCTATAACTAAGTAGACTGGAATATTTGTTGCTATAATCTGTTTGGTACCAGCCCTTGCCTGAAACAATCAACATTTGAGGCAATTTTCTACCAATAAAGGAGGCCGGCCAGTCGCCATATGACTTGACAATCAACTAAACAATTGTTTCTAGTTTAGCTAAGGGTTTGTTTAAGATATGGTCAATGTTAACATTTTGAGATTGGAATGTTGTTTTGTTAACCCAGTGACTTTTCAGTAAACCTATAGACCATGGAGTCTGAATGGCTTAAGTGGCATTAAATGTGATGATGGATAGATGTCAGGAAATGGATGGTAAAAAGCACACCTGTGACAGAGTAATGAAGTACTTGACATGCATGGTGGAAGTTGATCGAGACTATCAATTCTTCGAGAGGTCCAGCGACTTTATACTCGCAAGAAGGATATGGTATGGAATAGCTTTCTACACCTCTGGGCTGGCAGATTTGTAAGATTGGAAGTTGTTTCAGTGTGGAGAGAGATGAACACTTTGTATGGTCGGTAAAATTTGCTTTTGAAGTCACAAGTAAGTCTCAATAAAGGCATTTCCATTTCTAGTTTTCTAACTAGCTATGTATTGAAAAGTTGGTGGTTCTACTCTTAAAAGGTGTCTGTCTTTGTCCCAAGCAAGTCTCAATAAAGCCATTTCCATTACCTGATTTCTAACTAGCTATGTATTGGAAAGTTGATGGTTCTACTCTTAAAAGGTGTCTGTCTTTGTCCCAAGTAAGTCTTAATAAAGCCATTTCCATTTCTTGTTTTCTAACTAGCTATGTATTGGAAAGTTGGTGGTTCTACTCTTAAAAGGTGTCTTGTCTTTGTCCGGAACAATGTCATTAAGGCACATTTTCCTCTACCTTTAAAGCTTGACAGTCACCAAAATAGAACATAGAATTGTATCTGTTTAATAGAAAAAATGCTTAGGTTACATTGTTACTTTTTGAGATTGCAATGTTGTTCTGTTAACCCCAGTGACATTTCAGTGAACCCTTGCAACATGTTGGCTGGATTTATGTTGGAATGTGTGTGGCTGTGTGACATTGGCGAAGTGATTTTTATGACATTGGTGAAGTGAGATTGTGCTGGAAAGTGACATGATGGAGCATTGGTAAATGATCTATTTTGAATTTGTGTAAGTCATAGGACAGCTGGAGTGCAACATGTATGGAGGCTCAATTTTTCAATAGTTTAGTAATAAATCAGTTACACATTCAGTAGATTGGAATTGTCTTTTGTAGATTTAAAGTCTATAACTAGGTAGACTGGAATATTGGTTGCTATAATCTGTTTGGTACCAGCCCTTGCCTGAAATAATGAACATTTGGGGCTTTTTTCCTACCAATAAAGGAGGCCGGCCAGTCGCCATATGACTTTACAACCAACTAAACAATTGTTTCTAGGTTAGCTAAGGGTTTGTTTAAGATATGGTCAATGTTAACATTTTGAGATTGGAATGTTTTTTTGTTAACCCAGTGACTTTTCAGTAAACCTATAGACCATGGAGTCTGAAGGGCTTAAGTGGCATTAAATGTGATGATGGATAGATGTCATGAAATGGATGGTAAAAAGCACACCTGTGACAGAGTAATGAAGTACTTGACATGCATGGTGGAAGTTGATCGAGACTATCAATTCTTCGAGAGGTCCAGCGACTTTATACTCGCAAGAAGGATATGGTATGGAATAGCTTTCTACACCTCTGGGCTGGCAGATTTGTAAGATTGGAAGTTGTTTCAGTGTGGAGAGAGATGAACACTTTGTATGGTCGGTAAAATTTGCTTTTGAAGTCACAAGTAAGTCTCAATAAATGCATTTCCATTTCTAGTTTTCTAACTAGCTATGTATTGGAAAGTTGGTGGTTCTACTCTTCAAAGGTGTCTGTCTTTGTCCCAAGTAAGTCTCAATAAAGCCATTTCCATTTCTTGTTTTCTAACTAGCTATGTATTGGAAAGTTGGTGGTTCTACTCTTAAAAGGTGTCTTGTCTTTGTCGGGAACAATGTCATTAAGGCACATTTTCCTCTACCTTTAAAGCTGGACAGTCACCAAAATAGAACATAGAATTGTATCTGTTTAATAGAAAAAATGCTTAGGTTACATTGTTACTTTTTGAGATTGCAATGTTGTTCTGTTAACCCCAGTGACATTTCAGTGAACCCTTGCAACATGTTGGCTGGATTTATGTCGGAATGTATGTGGCTGTGTGACATTGGCGAAGTGATTTTTATGACATTGGTGAAGTGTGATTGTGCTGGAAAGTGACATGATGGAGCATTGGTAAATTATCTATTTTGAATTTGTGTTAGTCACAGGACAGCTGGAGTGCAACATGTATGGAGGCTCAATTTTTCAATAGCTTAGTAATAAATCAGTTACACATTCTGTAGATTGGAATTGTCTTTTGTAGATTTAAAGTCTATAACTAGGTAAACTGGATTATTGGTTTCTATAATCTGCTTGGTACCAGCCCTTGCCTGAAACAATGAACATTTGGGGCATTTTTCCTACCAATAAAGGAGGTCGGCCACTCGCCATATGACTTGACAATCAACTAAACAATTGTTTCTAGTTTAGCTAAGGGTTTGTTAAGATATGGTCAATGTTAACATTTTGAGATTGGAATGTTGTTTTGTTAACCCAGTGACTTTTCAGTAAACCTATAGACCATGGAGTCTGAATGGCTTAAGTGGCATTAAATTTGATGATGGATAGATGTCAGGAAATGGATGGTAAAAGCACACCTGTGACAAGAGTAATGAAGTACTTGACATGCATGGTGGAAGTTGATCGAGACTATCAATTCTTCGAGAGGTCCAGCGACTTTATACTCGCAAGAAGGATATGGTATGGAATAGCTTTCTACACCTCTGGGCTGGCAGATTTGTAAGATTGGAAGTTGTTTCAGTGTGGAGAGAGATGAACACTTTGTATGGTCAGGTAAAATTTGCTTTTGAAGTCACAAGTAAGTCTCAATAAAGGCATTTCCATTTCTAGTTTTCTAACTAGCTATGTATTGGAAAGTTGGTGGTTCTACTCTTAAAAGGTGTCTGTCTTTGTCCCAAGTAAGTCTCAATAAAGCCATTTCCATTTCTTGTTTTCTAACTAGCTATGTATTGGAAAGTTGGTGGTTCTACTCTTAAAAGGTGTCTTGTCTTTGTCCGGAACAATGTCATTAAGGCACATTTTCCTCTACCTTGAAAGCTTGACAGTCACCAAAATAGAATGTAGAATTGTATCTGTTAAATAGAAAAATTGCTTAGGTAACATTGTTACTTTTTGAGATTGCAATGTTGTTCTGTTAACCCCAGTGACATTTCAGTGAACCCTTGCAACATGTTGGCTGGATTTATGTCGGAATGTGTGTGGCTGTGTGATATTGGCGAAGTGATTTTTATGACATTGGTGAAGTGTGATTGTGCTGGAAAGTGACATGATGGAGCATTGGTAAATTATCTATTTTGAATTTGTGTAAGTCACAGGACAGGTGGAGTGCAACATGTATGGAGACTCAATTTTTCAATAGCTTAATAAATCAGTAACACATTCAGTAGATTGGAATTGTCTTTTGTAGCTTAAAAGTCTATAACTAGGTAGACTGGAATGTTGGTTGCTTTACTCTAGTAAAATATGGTCAATGTTAACATTTTGAGATTGGAATGTTGTTTTGTTAACCCAGTGACTTTTCAGTAAACCTATAGACCATGGAGTCTGAATGGCTTAAGTGGCATTAAATGTGATGATGGATAGATGTCAGGAAATGGATGGTAAAAGCACACCTGTGACAGAGTAATGAAGTACTTGACATGCATGGTGGAAGTTGATCGAGACTATCAATTCTTCGAGAGGTCCAGCGACTTTATACTCGCAAGAAGGATATGGTATGGAATAGCTTTTTACACCTCTGGGCTGGCAGATTTGTAAGATTGGAAGTTGTTTCAGTGTGGAGAGAGATGAACACTTTGTATGGTCAGGTAAAATTTGCTTTTGAAGTCACAAGTAAGTCTCAATAAATGCATTTCCATTTCTAGTTTTCTAACCAGCTATGTATTGGAAAGTTGGTGGTTCTACTCTTAAAAGGTGTCTGTCTTTGTCCCAAGTAAGTCTCAATAAAACCATTTCCATTTCTTGTTTTCTTACTAGCTATGTATTGGGAAGTTGATGGTTCTACTCTTAAAAGGTGTCTGTCTTTGTCCGAAACAATGCCATTAAAGCACATTTTCCTCTACCTTTAAAGCTGGACAGTCACCAAAATAGAATGTAGAATTGTATCTGCTTAATGGAAATATTGTATAGATTATACTGTGACTTTTAGAGAATGCAATGTTGTTCTGTTAACCCCAGAGATATTTCAGAAAACCCTTGCAACATGTTGGCAAGATTGATGTCGGAAGTTGTGTTGATGGATTTATGTTGGAATGTGGATGGTTGTGTGACATTGGTGAAGATTTGTCAGATTTGGAGTTGCTCCAGTGTGGAGAGAGATGGAAACAGTGTATCGATTAAAATAAACTACTCAAGGATGTCACAGGTACGTCTCATTATATATAACAAGTCGGGACACAGTGTTTATAATAAAATACAGTCCATCCTTGATGTTTCGAATTTCTTTAGATTGAAAATTTACTTTCAATAATTGATGGATTTGAATAATCAAAATACCAATATAGCGATGACAACAAATATTCAACTTTTGGTCATATGCCAATCATAGCAAATGTACCGTTTACAACACACTTGTTTCCATTAGTCAGTCGAAAAAATGAACAACAAAAGATGTGTATAAAATAAAGTTTTATTGGCAAATATTTGCATTTTATTCTCCATAATAATTTATGTAGAACATGTAGTTACATGAAAATTATGACTGTCATCTTCAAGCATTTACAGTAATAATTACACAGTGTAGAGTTTTAATCATAAATATGATGCATATTCATTATTAAAATATCTATTGTTAGTGGACATAATGCACTGATTTGAAATAGAAAAAGAAATTTTTTGGTATTCATATACAAAAACATGGTAGTATTTGCTTGTTTATTGATTTCTCTATTTCAATTGTTTACTTTCATTCTTTAATAAAAATTAGTAAATTGAATGCGTTTAACCGTCCAATAATTAAATAAGAAATAACTGGATTGCAGGTGATTTTTGGTAATAAAGAAATTTATGAAAACAACATTGTCTAAATACACACATGCGGTTGTTAGAAAATTTTTCACTAGTCCCGGTCAGCGATGGATCAGTGTCAGTTTGTCAGGCTGTGAATTTCTTTCATAATTGTAAAATCAGACCAAAGTTTAACTTAAAAAAAAAGAGGTATTCAGTTAATGCATTTGGAATAATATGTTTGTATTTATATTGATTTATATAATACTGCACGTTTGTAACGTCAATTTTTGTTGGATAATCGTGACGTTTATATACACGGCTGCTGTCAATTGATAAAGAAATCTCACATTTTTCTCTAAAAAAGAAGTTTGCAGTATTATAAATTCCTTATAAATATTCAGGACAGGTTATATGGCCAAATATTAACGGTTGTTTGCAATATAACCCTCGCCTAGTGGCTTGGGTTATATTTCCAAACAACCGTTTATATAGGGCCATATAACCTGTCAACATTCTTTATAACTAATAATATAGAGATAAAATTGGACTGCTGATCTACTTCGGATAATACCAGGTATTGAATAAAGGGTTGTCCAATAACTTCTGTATAGGTTCCAAAAATTTTAAATATCAAGCTATTAATCCATGTATCCATCAGCAAGCCTTAAAATTATCTTTGTATTTTGGTAAGGTTGGTTATATGGAGTTTAAAACAAATTGTGAATGTTAAGCATCTGTTAAAAGGTTAGAACGATATTTTATTCAACATGTCTTTATAGTTAAAAACATGAGACTAATATAAATATGTTGGCACCATCTGCTTCCATAATACAAAAAAAATTCTTTTTTGCTAGGCAATAAGATTTTTTGGGTAGCTGTAATTTTTGTGGGTAGGCTGTGGGAGCAATATTTGAGCCGTGTCATGACAAAACCAACATAATGGGTTTGCGACCAGCATGGATCCAGACCGCGCAGTCTGATCAGGATCCATGCTGTTCGCTTACAAACCCTATTACAAGTAGAGAAACTGATAGCATCCGCGCAGTCTGATCAGGATCCATGCTGGTAGCAAACCCATTATGTTGGTTTTGTCATGACACGGCTCATTTTATTTTAGGCCTAATCAAACTGAATATGCATACACAGAATGATTTGTTGAGAATATAATAAATTATTACAGGTAACTTAAGAAATAATAACATTTCAGCAATGTTTATCGACTATTTAATACCGGTTTAGAGTTTTGAAGCATAGGAATTGACATAAAGGCTGTAGGCCTGAGTGGTAAATTTTCTCTCATCATAATGAGGAATGCTCAAGTACCAAGTAGACATTACTATGCTGCCAATTTTTGTAAAACATTGTTCTATTTCACACCCTACTCTTGCTAATGTTTAAAAGTTATGAAACAAAATAAAAAAGATTAGAAAACAATTTTTCACGTTATTATTCAAGAATATTTTTATCAAATTTTCAACAATTTAAACTTGCATGTCAGACTGTATTGTTTTGTGTTTACATCAGTGCTTAATAAGTCATTCTTTAAACCCCACCAATGTCAGTCAGGGATTTTTTTTTGGCTTATTTTATTGCCGATATTCGGTCATATTCCCAATTGAAAATAGTATATTATTTTCCCAATACACAAGAAAAAAATCCCAATTGGAAATTACAAAATATAGAAATATTAAATAACAATTTCTAAAATCTTTGAAAATGAAGGACTTTTTCACTGTTATGGTTCTTAAATGTTTGAAGATGCCATCCTAGACAGTTATTCTTTCCATTTAATAAATCACTGCAAAATTTAAGTCCTGATTTTTTTTCCCATTTTTAGCTCACCGT